GCCCTGTTTCCCACCTCCCAAGTGTCTCAGTATAGATGACAAACCACAGGCTCCCTTCAACAGCTCAGGACAGACACAGCTACTCAGGTCCCCGGAATCTCCTCCACACACAGAAGCTGCAAACCCCTTCACTTCTCACGCCCTAAAACTTACCACTCTCCACAATAACACACACTCCTAAGGTTTCCCAAAATGAAAGGATTTATATGATTTTTCACTTGCATTTTTTACAAAGAGGTAATATTTATTTAATTTTTACATACCAATTTCAGTTGCCTCTCCCTCCCCCCCCCCCCAGGGGTTGTTGGTTTGTTGGTTTTTTGAGACAGGGTTTCTCTGTATAACAGCCCTGACTGTCCTGGAACTCACTTTGTAGACAAGGCTGGCCTCAAACTCAAGAGATCTGCCTGCCTCTGCCTCCTGAGTGCTGGGATTAAAGGTGTGCGCCACCACCACATGACACAAAGAGCTAATTTAGGAAAGGCAATTTTTAAATTAAGTTATGCTTAGAGATGATGCGCGCACTCTCTCTCTCTCTCTCTCACACACACACACACACACAATCCACATTTAGAAGCCTCATACATTATAAAAGATTTTAAAAATATGAAAATAAAGTTAAGCATGTGATATATAATTTTCCTGGCCCAAGACATGCTATTTAATTAACATAAATTTATTGTGACCCCTAAGAGTAACTGTTTTTGTTTGTTTGTTTGTTTACATTTAACACTCCCAAACTGTTTATACCAGAATTTAAATGAAATACAACAGATATAGTACCTGCATTTAAACTGTTTACTGGCACTTGCAAAGTAGCTGCAACTTTATTTAAAATCTTCTGCATTTCAGGTCCAGTTTTGAAGGCTTCTACATGATAAAGAGCCGAATCGTTTCTTTCCACATCAGTTAAAAACTTCTCACAATGATCAAAGAACCTCATTAGTTTATCGTTAATTCTTGGAGGGTCACACCCCATATCTGAAGTGAAGAAAGCACACATGTGTAAGTCATTGGCATTAGTGACAATTCACATTACTGAAAATTTAAAGCGAAAAAGGCACATTTAACAAACTATTAAGCTGTGCGGGGGCCCCCCCCCCCAAAATATAGGGATCAAGAGAAGGGTGCAGTTGCTAGTGGAAGCCAGGAGAGGGAGTCAGATCTTGGGGAGCTGGAGTTAACAAATTTGAGAGTCCTCTGCAAGAGCAATACTCTCAACCACAGAGTCATCTCTCTAGTCCCAAAGAGGATGGGCTTTTTGTTTTGTTTTGTGGAGTGTTTATTTTGCTTTTTTGAGGTATTAGGGGACAAACTCAGGGCCTCTGTATGTTAGGCCAGCTCTCTACCCAATAAGCTACATCCCCAGCTCAGCTCCTTCATTTACAACAATGACAATGTATGAGCTGATATGCTAGAAAAGACTAAAAAAGTAGACTGAAAAGAAATGAGTTAAAGCAATACTATACAAGAAATATATATATTTATACATATATATATTCTTAAAACACGGGTACCCTTAGAAAGCCAACTAATACCCAGCAGATTCCAGACACCAGGTGGAGAATTGGACAGGCCTGTTTCTCCCGTTAGCAAGACTCCAAGTGGAACATTTCATTTTCTCAACTAATTTTCCAAGCTGTGTTACTTGACAAAATATTCTGTTTTTACAAAAACTACGAAAACCAGCAAAGCAACAGGGTTGTTTCAGATCCACTGTTTCACGCCAGAAGCCAGGCACCTCGGCTCCTCTGCTGCCTGAAGCTCTCAGATGGCTCCCATTTAGCATTTACTAGGTTACATTGTTTCTACAACTTGGCAACAAATATTTATTGAAAAAGCGTTCATTATCATGCTTCAATTTGTTGGGGTCCTTTTCCAGTTATATTCAAAACATCTCAATCATCATTTGTCCAATGGGAAAAGAACATTAAATATTCTGTATATGAATGTGAGAACACAAGTTAGACCATACTTAGTTGGTTATATGGGCAAAAATATAAATATATACATAAATACATTTCCCAAACATAATTCTGCCTACTCTACTTGCCAATTGATTTATAGTTCTTACAGAAACATCCTGAATAAGGGAATTCTGTCATCTTCCCATATGGCTCCAAAGATCAACTTCTCACTTGTGTTATCAAATTACATTGTTCTGTTTCTATAAAAACCTAAAATCTGATTGTGTGGCCTTTCTCAGAAGCCCAGATGTACACAATAGACAAAACGACCCTTTACGGATGACAATGGAGTGGTCAGGGTAAGTTAACCTCTGGGACTGAAACAACGAGGGTTAGATTTCCCTACACTGTTTCCATCCCTGGCTTTGCACACGAGGCAAATGCCAATCCTCACAATGCAATCTGAAGACCATAATTCATTTCTCCTGTATATATTTACACAGTACACACTGTGCTTTTTAAAAAGTGACAGGCATTTATTTAGTGCGTAGCTAGCAGGGCTCAGTTCTCTCCCTTCACTATGCACGTCCAAGGATCTGAGTCGGGCTGGCAGGCTTGGCTGCAAGTGTCTCTACCTGCTGAGCCATCTCACCAGTCCTGTGGTGCCATTTTAAATGTTCGAGTTTTGAGACTGAAGTGAACTTTAATGGATTTAGGAGGATTTCCACTCAAACTAATGAAAAATGTAGCCATAATTAAAAAGCACACTCAACAAATAGGCACACATATGTCAGTAGTAACATGACACACAACAATGGGGAATTCTCTAGAAGAGCTTTTTAAATGTTAGGGGGAAAATGACAAATTGAGTACTTCTAGTTTTTTTGTTTGTTTGTTTGAGTTACCTTAAAACTAATAAGCAGTTGCTTACACTTGCTCATCTTTTGGTACAAAGATGTTACATGCTATTTTTATCAGGTATGTTAAGGGCAAAGTACACAGAAGATGTATGGTGTAATGGTTGAGAGCAAATTCTAAATCGAATTTCCTAGATCCACATCCAGCTGAATGAAAATTAGCAAGTTATTTGGTATTTTTGCTTCATTTCTTCAACCGTGAGATTGGGCAGTGGACAGGATTAGCGGCTTCATTAAGCCATGGTAAGCAGTCAACAAGCTAAACGTGAAGCATGCGCGGTACACAAAGGCTTTACGTTTGCTGCAGTATCTGTAGCAACTGGAACATTTTTGGAGGGAAAAGACAATCGAGAAAAGTCACGACCTGGATTCTGGCCTGACTAGTCATAAGCTATGTAAGGGCAAGCGAAGGAAGCACACCAAACAGGATTCCACCCCAAGAGCTCCCAAATTCTGAAACGGTGTCACGATGGAGTAAGTTGGTAAGGAGGGAAACGCTACAGTAAACAAGAATAAAACAGAGGTGAAAAGAAGGGCACAGAGAGGATCTGAGGAGCGGCTTCGGAAAACAGCACGTAAATGTGGAAACACCTGAAAAGACGATGATGAAAAAGAAAAAAAATCCAACTGTCATAAAGCAATGCGGGAGAAAGAAAGTTCTATATTAAAGAATGTACCAGTTATTTGGTTGGTTGGTTTGGTTTTTCGAGACAGGGTTTCTCTGTAGTTTTGGAGCCTATCCTGGAATTAGCTCTTGCAGACCAGGCTGACCTCGAACTCACAGCGATCCGCCTACCTCTGCCTCCCGAGTGCTAGGACTAAAGGCGTGCGCCACCACCGCCCGGCAAATACGCCAGCTGTTACACTAGTTGCCAGGAAGGGAAAGGTTGGCGCTCAGAGGGATAACAGAGTTTGTGAATGGAAAATGTAACTCGGGGAGCGATACTCTCCCGCTTTCCTGCTGGATCTCCAGCGTCCCCTACAGCACCCCTCGCGCAGAAAATGCTAGGAAGTCACAGCTGATGTGTGACTAAACAAGCGTACTATTAAGACAACAGAGGCAGCCAAGTCCACAACATCCTGCGCTCTGAGAGCGCAAACGGAAGTGGTAGTGCGGGGAACGTAAGGGGGCCGTGAGCAGAGGCTGAGTTGGGGGTCCGGATCTGGGGGAGGCGGGGCGCGCTGTCACCTGAGACGTCTGGCGGTGGCAGTCCGGGGTGGTAGTGTTGCCACAGCCCTTGGAGGAAGGCGGCGCTGCTGTCCACACAGCGGTGCTTGGAGCTGGTGATCAGCTGCAGGCGGCCGTAGTTCTCCCGGCTGAAGAGGTCAGGGAAGAGGGCGGCCAGGCGCAGTGCCAGCTGTCGCATGTCCTGCCGCCCCTTCTCCACCAGCTGCCCGTCCATCCAGTCATCGTACCACAGCGGCCACTCGGCCAGCGCGGCCGCCACTCCGCTCCCGCGGTCTCCGGATCCCCGGGTTTGCAGTAGCCCCTGCAGCTGCCTCAGCTTGCGGATCTGCTTGGTCGTAGGGTAGCGGGTGCCGTGACGGATGAGGGCGACCAGCTGCACCGGGGTGCAGGTCCCCGCCAGCAGCTCCGGGTCCCGCTGCTGCGCCACCGGGTCGACCAGCAGCCAGGGGTTGACATCTTCGTAGCGAGTCTTCGTGCCGAAGTAGGGGCTGAGCACCGACGCCACCGGGTCGCCGCGCCCCTGGAGAGAGCAGCGCGCGAACGACGAGAGCAGCGCCGCAGCCAGGACCGCGGCGGGTGCT